TCTAATTCATGATTCTATCAACCGTTACTTCTGCTTGCTTTAAAAAAAAAAAGTAGTGCCGTATCTGGAGAGACAAATCAATATTTACAGGGCGCTAGTGCTGCGGAGCGTTTCAGATCCGGAGATGTGGGGTTGTGCCTGTTTTATCCACGCTTCAAAGCCGGCTTACACATCAAACGCTCCTCACCGTCCCAGCTCAGCGACATGGCTCCAGTCCCTTGGTGTTTCCTCCAGCTGCTTAATTATTGAAGAGCCCCCGTCTTTGAATTTTCTTTTTAATATTTTAGACAATATACTTTGAACATCTCTATATTAAGTAAATCAGATGATTACAGGGTTAGGAAGTTCCGCCATCTCATTTTTAAATGCATCCATTTTCCTAAAATTAGGGCTAAGCATTGCAGTAATAATGACCATGATGCCTTCCACCTGAAGCTCCCATTATTTCTAATTACTGTAGAAGGACCGATTGCATCAGGTTATTGTGAACCTCGGTAGGCCCCAGGAACAGGAAGCAGATCCCAGGTGAGAAGCCTTGGGTTTCCTGGAGGCTGAGACAAGACTGCATTTTCTCTGTTTTTTTGCCTTTCTGGAATTCAGAGTCTTCCAGGTGGCTGGCGGGGAGCTGACCACTTAACCACCCTCGCTGCTGTCTTAGCAGAGTCAGAAGCTGAGGAAAGACTCACCAGCGCCCCCAGATGGTCGGGTGCGGTGGCTGAACCCACTGTTCCCAGTGCTCACCCATCTTTTTGAAGCTTTTGAGTGATGATCCATGAAGCAGGCGTGACACACTTAACTGTGCAGAATGCCACCCAGTGGTGTCTGTGAGGTCCATGTTTGGAGTGGTCAGAGCAGCATGCCCAGGAAACATTTGCTCATGGAACAGGGTTTTTCTGTGGAAGATCCTGAAAGACTAGTTTATTTGGATGTGAGTCACTTATTTCCGGAGAGATGTGTTTGTCTATAACAAGACAAACCATTGGCTGTGCTTGTCACTGACGATAAAACTCTAATTTCCTAGTGAAACTTCGGGTTTGGAAGTTTCTACTCAGTTGTGGCAATGGGACCCTCGTGGTACACCATGACTTTTTTGGTTGTTGTCAATAGATTGAAATGTGATTTTTTTTTTTAAAAAAAGAAGATTCATTTGAGAATTACTGAGAGGGAGAGACAGATCATGTATCTGCTGGTTCACTCCCTCAGTGGCCACCATGGTTGGAATTGGGCTGGACTGGAAACAGGAACTTCTTCCAGGTCTCCCGTGTGGGTGCAGGGACCCAGACACTTGAGTCCGCCTGTGCTGTTTTTGCAGGTGCATTAGCAGGGAGCTGGATGGGAGTGGAGCATCCCGGACTTGAACCCATAGCCACGTGGAGTGTAACCATTGAAGGTGGTGTTATTACCCTAGCACTGGACCTGTGTATCAGTTTTACTACAAAGAAGGAGGACCTGGAGGAAGGGTACATAGTGGAAACTTCCTTGGGTGTGTCCTTTATGTTGTCATTTTATTTTTAAAAAATCACGTTTGAAAGAGACAGAGTAAGAGAGAGACCAACACCAAGAGAGATCTCCCCATTTGCTAGTTCATTTCCCCAAGCCACCAAAGGCCACGGCTAGGTCAGGTAAGTGCCTGGAGTCCAGCAGCGAATCCAGGTCTCCCATAGGACATCAAAGGCCATCACTGCTGCCTCCCAGATTGCGCATCGCATCAGCTGGTATGGAGATGGTTGGTGGCACTGACCCAGCCCTCCGACCCGGCAGGTGGGGTTCCCACGTGTTGGCTTCTGGGCTCAGCCGCATGCCTGCCCCCGTATTGCCCTGTGATGTAAATGCCTGCCTCCCCCACATGCAAGCTGCAGATCCATCAAGGCAAATGCTCATTATTTTCATGTGTTTCCGACTAACAGATGAACACAGTGTGCTTGTCAGATGATGGTCCTAATTATTTATCTCATCGAAACTCTGTGTGTGTGTGTGTGTGTGTGTGTGTGTGAGAGAGAGAGAGAGAGAGAGAGATGTTTTCCCCCGGGGACATTTCAGACTCAAGGAGAGCAAGCTGTTTGCTTGTGGCAAGCCAACCTGGGCTAGGGGGTGGAGGGGATCACGTGAGACCTGAGTTTCTTTGCGGGTTGGGGTGTACTTGCACATGCGTGGTAAGATTAGGTCCTTTGTGTGCTCCAGTGCACCAGTCTCTCCTGTGTGCTGGTAGTGTCATTTCACCTCCCCCGGCCCCCGATCCCCCCCACAAGCAGGCGCGCAAACACACGCCCATGCACACACACAATGAGGTGCTTTAGAGTTGTGTAACAACTGAACGGTTAACGACCTTTTTAACAGTATTATAATTGTCTGTAATTATCCAGTATAATTGAGCTCTCTCTCTGTCCCCCCCCTCCCCCAAGTTGTTACCTTTGTGATTATATTTTTCATTTAATGACTCTGGGAATTACTTTTTCCTCCTCTTGGTGGAGAGCTTTCCTTGTAGGAAGAGTACTGTGATCTTAACACAGATTTTTTTTTACTTACTTGGAGGGGAACGTGACAGAAGAAAAGATCATCTGTCCATTGATTCACTCCCCAAATGACTGCAACCACAAGTCATCAGGAGGCCCCAGCCAGGAGTGTGGTATGCCATCCAAGGCTCCCACGTGGTGAGCAGCAGGTGGCAGGGGCCCAAGCACTGGGGCCATCTGCTGCCACTTTTCCCAAGCGCATTAGCAAGGAACTGGTTCAGAAGTGAAATAGCTGAGACTCAATTAGGTGCTCCTGTACGGCATGGTTGTGTCACAGGTAGCCACTGACTCGGCTGCTGCCGCTGTACAGAGAGAAGGAGATACAGGGAAAAAGATCTTCCCTCCGTTGGTTCACTCTCCAGTGGCCGCAATGGTCAGAGCTACGCTGATCTGGAGCCAAGATCTAGGATCTTCCTCCGGGTCTCCCACATGGGTGCAGGCTCCCAAGGATTTGGACCATTGTCTACTGATTTTCCAGGCCGCAAGCAGGGAGCTGAATGGGTAGTGGAGCAGCTGGGACAGGAACTGGTGTTCATATGGGATCCTGGGCCCAGGCCACAAGCAGGGAGCTGGATGGATAGTGGAGCAGCCAGGACATGACCTGTGTTCATGTGGGATCCTGACGCGTGCAAGGTGAGGATTTTAGCCATTGAGCCATCACACTGGGCCCACTATACAGATTTTTTTTTTTTTTAATATTTACTCTATTCATTTGAAAGGCAGTTACATATGTCGAAGTTTTTCACCCATTGGGACAGTTCAGATGCCTCTGAAGGCCAGGCCAGATGCTGGAGCCAGGAGCTTCATCCAAGTTTCCCACGTGGGTACCAGGAGCGCAAGCACTTGAGCCATCCTCAGGCTGTGAGCAAGCGGCCTGTTGGCACATGGAGCTGCTAGGACGTGAAGCCGTGCCTACATGGGATGCTGGAGTCACCAGCCACAGCTGTATCTGCCATGTGGAGATTGCATGTAAGGTTTCTGCTAGCTCGTAGTACTGCCATCAGTACTAATGCCGCACAGTCAGTGTAGGCTCCACTTTTTCACTGGTACTGCTGTTTAGGCAGGTTTGCTGTTGTGGATGTATTTCTTTGTATCCTACTTTCAGACAACATGACTCAACATTTCATTTCTTTTACCTTTTGTGTCATCTGAGTTTTTGAGTGTTTTCTGTTTGTTACTGATAAAGGGAATGTTGCTTCAGAGATGTTGCAAACTTGTATCTGAGTTTGGTATTTCTGTCTCTTTCCTGTTTGCTCCTGTCTGCCCAGATGTTTTTGGTGCTGCCAATGCAAATGCTTGCCTGAGCTTGTTATTGATTTTGTCAGAGCGTGTGCATGCAGACTCTGGTTTGTGAGTGCAGTGGTTCAAATACTGTCTTTCGTCTAACTTGATTACATGACAGAAAAACCTGTACTTCTATTTGAGATTTTTCTTCATCAAAAGGTGAATAGATGTGTGCTTTTGTTTCATGCTTTTCTGATAATAGCTTATTGGAAAATTACTGAGTAGCACATTTTCAAAGTGTGTTTTTTTGTTTGTTTGTTTGAAAGGCAAGTTAGGGAGTAGGAAAGAGCTTGCATTGGCAGGCTCACTCCCCAAATGGCTACATTGGTTGCAGTTGGACCAGGCCATAGCCAGGATGGAGGAGCTAGGAGCTTTTTCCAAGTCTCCTCTACATGGAATGCAAGATCCAAGCATTGGGCTGTTCTCTGCTGTTTCTCAGCCCAGTAGCAGGGAGCTGGACTGGACAGGCAGCAGCTGGAACTCACATGCAATGCTGGCACTGCAGGTGGCAGCTTGGCCTCAGTGCCACAGCACCACATAGTAAGAGACTCTTTAAAGTTTCTGGGACATGGAATTAAAATAAATTTCTTGTGGTGCCCCAAATTTGCAAATCTGTACATAGGAGGTGTTGGGGAGGTGTTCTTCAAAAGTTCCATAGGACATACATGTCAAGAGAAAGCCAGGTGCGGATGGAAGACTTGTTTGGAACAAAACTAACTTACCCTCCAACTCTGTTGTCCAATAGCTTTGCAATATACTGTTGTAGTTTTGTTGGTTGGCATCTGTGTTAAGTCACTCTACAGCGCTGGGGAGACAGTGGCCGTGGTCTGTCCATGGGATCCCTGCCGTGGCTGAGGTCTGTCTGTGGAATCCCCACTGTTGCCATGGTCCATCCATGATCTCCGCTGATGGCCTGGTCTGTGCGTGGGATTCCTACCATGGCCCTAGTCTGTCCGGGGGAATCCCTGTCGTGGCCGTCCATCCGTCCGTGAGATCCCCACTATGGCTGTGGTCTGTTCATGGGATGTCTGCTGTGGCTGTGGTCCATCCAAGGAACCTGTGCAGTGCAAATTCCCAGTGAGGGCTTATTGACCCACTGAGGAGAGCTTTCAGGTTCCTGGGACCCAGCTTCACTGATCCTGCCTTGCAGTTTTGGGGTTCCTGCCTTGTGTGCTAAACCGCGTGCTTCTTTTCTACTGCCAGATATGCCTCTCCACGTGCGCCGGAGCAGTGACCCCGCCCTTGTGGGCCTCTCCACCTCATTCAGCGACAACCACTTCTCCTCTGAGGAACCCTCCAGGAAAAATCCCACCCGCTGGTCCACCACAGCTGGCTTCCTCAAGCAGAGCCCATCCAGTGGCCCCAACACCTGCGACAGGAAGGTGAGTGCCCCGCTCTCCTTTGCTGTATCAGGGACGTGAGCCCTGTACCTGCCAGCTCTACCCCTCTGCCCTCCTGTCCTGTATCAAGGATGTAAGCTCCAACACCTGCTTGTTCTATCTACCTCACTTCCTCCTGGGGTTTGGAGATGATGATGATCTTAATGGTGGTGCAGGCCATGGGCCCCCATGGCTTCCTGTCTAGGGGCCACTTGCACAACCAGGTTCAGGCCCCTCCTGTTCAGTAATTGCACTTTCATTTGCTGTGCTCTGTGTGCGCTCAGCCTTCTGAGCGTTCACCGTGAAGGTGTGTGTGCTATGAAACCTCTCTCCTGCTGTATCTCCCAGGCACCCATCTGTTTGTTGCTTGTATGTCCCTGCAGGGGCGAGTAGGTGTCCCTGCTCACTTGCTGGGGGTCCTGAAGGCAGTATCGAGGGTTCACACTTCCTGGTCCTTGATCCTAGCTGCCCCTTGGATAACATCATCTCTGAGTCTCCTGATGAAATGTAAATGTACTTGTCTGGGTTTAATGCCATTTTTCTTCCTTGACCTAATGTGGTCCATCTGCCTAACTTTAGCTCGGGTTGTCTTTGTAGAAATGGGCGTTAATACTTTCCAATGCCCGTTGTTCCTGGAACCCTTGTCACCCGCTTCAGCCCCTTTCCCAGTGATTTCCATGTGGTGTTGGCTCTTGGTTGAATTCATGGTGCAGAGGCTTAATCTGTGGCATGATATTAATAAACATTGTTTTGTGTGCAAGGAGTATCATGAAGTATTGGGAGACCCATGTGTGTTACCATCAGCATGGGTATGTCTTGATATTTGTCTGATTTATTGTTTACATCTAAATCGAGCCTTGTTCTGCATTGGAAAAAACTCTCCCTTGTATCATTCAAGCAGACAGATGTACTTGAGATCTGCCAAGTTAAGCAGAGGATAATCTAGGAAGATCTAGGAAGAAGTGAAGGACATTTTAATGTGTCCCTTCTTGGGCTAGGGATTTAATGTCACATCCACTGCCCTAAAGTGTTCCGTTAAGAGGGAGTCCACAAAGAGCCTGGAGGGCACCTCAAGTTGGATCAGCTCGGAATTTCAGAGGACTTTGTCATGCAGTGGACAGATGCAGGCTATGGGAAGGTCTCGTGACATTCGCTGTCATGGACCATGTGGGTGTAGATGTTCATAGAGGTTGGCTCCTGAGGTAGATTCATCTCAGTAAGCTTGTCCACTGCACCAGAGTCCTCAGGGGGATTGCTTTTCTCTTTGTACATCCAGCATCTTGGGTATGTGAGTCAGGCAGGTTCATTGCCAACAACCAGATCCTGATTCTAAAATAAAGGAGAAAACAGGCATTAATTGTCCCCACCATGCAAATCCTAGAATTGGCTTCTCTGCCTCTTCCTGCCAGCTAACAGCCCAGGAGAAGGGCCTGTGTCTCACACCCAGGCAAGGCTCCCACCTTGGAACTAGAAAGGGTGGAATGCAACAGAGAGGTGGCCGGGCATCCAGGAAGCAAAGGCGGGGACTGTATTCCTGAGAACAGCAGAGGACAGAGGGCTCCAGGAGAGATGTAGTGACCCCTGCCCACTGGTAGCATAGATCCACATGAAGCCGTCAACTTTCCATCCCTGCAACCAAGAGCCAGCAATACTGTGCGCCGGCTCTCTCTCTCTCCTTTCTCTCTCTCTCTCTCTCTCTCTCTCTCTCTCTCTCTCTCTCACACACACACACACGGAATTGGAGTCCTGCTGTGTCTTCAGGTTTGCATCATGGTTGTTTGCACATCTTCCCCGTATCACAAGGGATATTCCCCCTGCTGTGAATCGTGTTAAGACAGTGTTTTGAAGGAATGCAGAAATACTCTGTTGTTGTATCTCCTACAGTTTAGCATTCTGCCACTAGTGGACTGCTACACAAGGGCTGGAAAAGGCGCTGTTACTTGTTAAGTTCAGGGTCAGTGTTGCATTGTAGCAGAAAAATCTTCCTCCTGTGACACCAACATCCCATAGGTGCACCAATGTATGTCTGTCTGCTCCAGCTGGAGCTGAGCCAATCTGAAGCCAGGAGCCCTTCTAGGTCTCCCAAACGGGTGCAGGGTCCCAAGGCTTTGGGCCGTCCTCGACTGCTTTAACCAGGCCACAGGCAGGGAGCTGGATGGGAAGTGGGGCTGCCGGGATTAGAACTGGCACCCATATGGTATCTTGGTGTGTGCAGGCAAGGACTTTAACTACTACGCTATCGCGCCAGGCTCAGTGTGCTCCACTTCTAATCCAGTTCCCTGCAAGAGGCCTGAGGCAAGGTTTTGGGCCCTGCCACTCCTGGAGGAGACCTGCCACCCCGGTGGGAGACCTGAATGTTATGTTGTGGCTGTGGCCTGGCCCAGTCCTGTTGTACTGGCTATCATCTGAAGAGTGAGCCTGCAGACGGGAAAAAAAAAATCTGTCTCTCCCTCCTCTCTTTTTGTAAATCTTTCAGGTTAAAAAAAAAATTAACATTAAGTTTATTTTGCTTTGAAAAATGTTTGACATCTATACAGAATTTTTTCATAGTGCACATTTTTCTCTCCACTTCTTGAAGCACTTTCAGGTTATTTTCATGTTTTTCACTTTCTAAATGTTCTAAGACATCCTTAGCTATAATACCGTTTTGGAAAAGTGTTGCATATTCAGCAGGCTTCTCCCCTGCGCAGTGTAGTGTTACAGGTAGCTGGCTGCCTGTATGTTACTACACAGAGGCGTTGAACCCCATGCTCAGCCGTGTCTGGATGAAATGAAGCATATTTGCAACATGCAGCTTAATGTGTAACGAATTGGTCCTACACGTTTTCTTTGGCTTTTCAAGTATCTTATTCGGATGTTTTCCTGAAGAGTGTGCTGTTGGCGTGTTAGCCTGAGTTTTTTATATGTTTGTGGTTGATTAAATGTGACCTTATTTCCAGTTATCACAAGGCTTCCAGTGTTCCCTGTGTGCAGCGGGCAGTGCAAAGGAAGCAGACCTGATGAGGCGCAAGGCATGAGGTTTACTTTTCCACTTGGTGCACCAGACCTAAGCTGCGTCCTTTTAAGATGGTATAAATTCTTACCACCGTCAGGTGGCTGAGGTTTCCTGTGTTAAAGTCTTGAGAAGAAGTGAATTCAGTGTCATGTTTTTCTGACTCAGTGATTTCTTAGGGTTGCTGTGAAGCTCATGGTATAGCACAATGCTTTGTGGCTTTCCGGCATGTCCTGGAATAATGCTAACTCTGGCACTCCCAGCAGGCATGTTGCATTCTGATACACTTCACTCCTGGGCTGGGGCTCCTCCTCATCTCCGCCTCCACCCCCTGCTTTGAAAACTCTCAGCAAGAGCTGGGGTCTTCCCTGGCTGGAATCCCGACCACCCCTCCCTAGCCGACGGGGTTTTAGGGCCGTGTGGATGGACAGCTATTGGTGAGGCCATGCTGGCCAGGGGTCTGTGGGCTTCTCAGTTTTCTTTATTTGTCATTGGAGAAGTGGTGATGGCTAGGGCAGTCTCAGCTTTCCTGGATGTTCTCTGTGGTTGCTTTCCACGTTTCTGTTGTTCACATCCTGTCAAGGGTAGGCTAGCTGGCTGGCTGGCTGGCTGGCTGGCTGGCTTGCTTCCTTCCTTTTTTTTTTTTTTTTAAAGTTATTTTCATTGAAAAGGCAGATACACAGAGAGGAGACAGAGAGAGAAAGATCTTTTGTCCATTGGTTCATTCTCCAAGTGATTGCAACAGCTAGAGCTGAGCTGTTCAGGAGCCAGGAACTCAGAGCTTTTTGCTGGTCTTCCGCATGGAGGCAGGGTCCCGAGGCTTTGGACCATCCTTTCCTACTTTCCCAGACCGCAAGCAGGGAGCTGGATGGGAAGTGGAGCAGCCAGGACATGAACTTGTACCTGTATGGTACCCTGGCACATGCAAGGCGAGGATTTAGCCACTGGGCTTTTATCCCAGGCCCAAGCATAGGCTTCCTGTACACATGTCATCCGGCAGCACCCTCCTCAACCATCACTGCCATGAACAGCTGGTCTGGGCACTCCCAGATTGCCTTCCTCTGCCTGCCTCTCTCTCCCAACTCCCCAGCCCGCACAGGTGGATGTATGCTGATCCTGCTGAGGGAACAGGAAGAAGGAGATCATGGGAAAACTGTGTTGGCATCCTTAGCCTTTCTTATTTTTACATTCGATTCAGTTAGGGGGACCTTGGACTCCCTGCTTACCCCCTGGGCTTGTTGCTGGTTTGGTTTCTCAGCTTGGGTTTGGTATCTTTCCAGTACCCAGGGCTCTTGTATGTTTCTGGGAGAGATGGGGTCTCCGTTGTCTCATTTAGCTTTCTCTTGGCAATGAGAGATCTTCCAAATTTAGAAAATTGTTGTTACAAACGTCTCTTAGGGTATGTCTGAAGGATCTTGAAACACTGTGTCTCCTGGTAATTTCAGTGCTTGCTGTTTGCATCAATGGCGTGTTGGGGAAACTCTGCAGCAGGAGCCAGATCCTGCGGGAATGGAACAGCAAGTAGGTTTGAGGTTGTGGTACTTTAACCTCGGGACATCTGCTCAGCACCACTGTCCTTGGTACTGATGCTGGTTCTGTTTCATCAGATGGTTTTTCTGGATTCCTGCTTAGCACTCCACTCCACCCTCCCACTCGGTGATATTGCATTTGTGTGCTGATTTTCTTGGAGCTAGTGTTGGTTAACTGTATGGGGTGATTTCTCTGTCGTTTGACATTTGTATCTTAGCCCGTTTTGTTTGCTCTTAAATGTAACCTTTGGATGTGGCCTTCAGAGACTGTCCTTAATATATCCATTAATGTTGATGTCTCTGAGTGTTAGAGAAAAGATCCCCGAAGTGAGATTACTTCAGTGAGAAGATGGGATGTTGCTGGGAAGTGGTGGTGATTGCTTTGCATAAGCTCTGGAGGAGGAAAAGATGTAGAAAGCCCTGGCAGACGCAAGGAGGACGCGGAAACCATCAGGTGGTTGGTTCTGGGACTGAGTGAGGCC